CACCTCTCTTTGGAATGGGCACAAATATGGATCTCTTCCAATCAGTCGGCCAGATAGTTGTCTTCCAAATTTCTTGGCAGATATGAGTGAGTGCCTCCTATACCTCCTCACTTTCTTGAAATTGAAAGATTTCAATTTTTATTCCATCAATTCCTGGTGCCTTTTCTTTGCCAATTCCTTCAATGCACCTTGGACTTCCTCCTTCAGTATCATTGGCTCTTGATCCTATGCTACCTCTTGAAACAGCTGAACATCAACCATTTGCTTTTGGTACAATGACTCTGTCTATTCCTTCCATCTTCTTTTGATGCTTTCTGCATCATTCTATTATTTGCCCAGAGAATCCTTCAATAATGAAAGTCAAAGCTTGAATTTTTTCTTCAGTTCCCCCAGCTTGAGAAACGCTGAGCGTGTTCTTCCTTTTTGGTTTTCTGACTCCAGATCTTTGCACATTTTGTTGTAATATTTGACTGCAACCATTGCCACTATGAAAACCTAGAACTTTTTCTTCACACAGATAAGAAAGTTTGTATCCAGTGGCAGTCATTGCCATGCCTCCCCATACCCTGGCTCCTAGCAACCAGCAATCTACTTTTTATTTCTGTGGTTTTTACTGTTTAAGACATTTCACATAAATGCAATCATATTTGTACCTAGCTTCTTTTATTTATCATAATGTTTTCAAGGTTGTTCAGGTACTTCATTGTTTTCCATGGCTGAAAAATATCCCACTGTGAGAATATAGCACATTTTGTTTATCTATTCATTAATGATGGAACATTTGAAATGGTTCTACCTTTAGACTATTATAAATGATGTTGCTATGAAGATTCATGTACAATTTCTGTGTAGACATACAAGGGGGATTCAAAAAGTTTGTGGGAAAATTCCACTATTTTTTCATTCCATTTTTCCATAATCATCTTTAATCTCCCCCTCCCCCCTTCATATGTTTGCAATTCTCTTTGGCACATTGCTTGAAGTAGAATTGCTGAGTCATATAATAAGTCTATACTGAACTTTTCAGAACCAATTTCTGTATTGTTTTTCTATTTCACTTATTTCCACTCTTTATTATCCTTTCTGTTTGCTCTTCTTTTTTCAGTTCTTTAGATATTTAAAGTGCGTTATTGATTTGTGATCTTTCTTTTTTTGACTTTTTCAGTTCTAAATTCCCCTGTTGCTGTTGTTAAGTGCCGTCAAGTTGCTTCTGACTCAACAACCCTGTCAAGGGTTTCTGAGGAGTGGCTGGTGAGTTTGAACTGCCAACCTTGTTGTTGGCAGTCCAGTGTTTATCTTACAATACTACACCAGGACTCCAAATTTTGATGCTTTATATGCATCAAAATGTCTTGGTGTGCTGTATTTTAGCTTTCATTCATCTTAAGTATTTTCTAGTTTCCTCAGCGATTTCTTGTTTGAGCGATTGGTTATTTAGAAATGAACTCCTCAATTTTCACATATTTGTGAATATCCTAAGTTTCCTTCTGATATTACTTTTTAATTTCATCTCATGTGGCTGGAAAATATAGTTCGTATGATTTCAGTCCTTTAAAATTTATTCAGATTTGCTATCCTACAGAATGTTCCATCTGTATTTGAGAAGAATGGGCTTTCTGTCACTGTGAGGTGGAGTGTCTAGTAGACACATGCTGGTGTAGCTGGTTTTGCAAGTTGCTCAAAACTATTTCGTTGTTCATCTTCTGTCTAGTGTTCTGTTCATTATTAAAAATAGGGTACTGACGTTGTCAACTGTTAACGAACTATGATTGACCTTTAAAGAGAACTTGCAGAAGACTGATTTTCTTCCAGCCTACTCTGGAGTGAATGTAAACTGGATCATTTCAGTCAAATAACTGTTACTTAAGGCAACCACTGAAGCGTTTATATTTTCCTCCATCCCTTCTCCCTTGTAAGCACTTTCATCTCGACAGTACTAAACTGATATCAAGGCCAGATCAATTTTATTAAAGTTGGACTCAATGTCTTGGTGAGGAGTCCTGGTGCAGCGCTGTGGATTATGTGCTGGACTGCAAGGTCGGTGGTTCAAGCTCACCAGCTGCTCCTTGAAAACCCTATACAGGGTTACTATGAGTCAGAATCGACTTGATGGCACTTAACAACAACAACAACATTTTTAAACTAGTAATATTGCTTCATTTTTTAACATCATTAGATGTTAAAAAATGAAGCAATATTACTAGTTTAAAAATGACTAGAGAACGTGTGACCTAAACCCAAGAGATACCTTGGTATTTAAGATTAAGCAGGACATCAACTCAGACTGACTTTGGGAATTTAATGACTGCGAATTTCTAGGCTCCCTCTGTGCCTTGGAGTCCTCGTGTGACGCTGTGGGCTAATGCGCCAGACTGCAAAGCCGTTTGAACTGCAAGGTTGGCGGTTCAAGCTCACCAGTTGCTCCTCGGAAACCTTATACAGGGTCACTATGGGTTGGAATCGACTTGACGGCACTTAACATCAACATTAGGAGACCTGGTGTGGCGCTGTGGGTATATGCACCGGACTGCAAGGTCAGTGTGAACCACAAAGTCAGTGGTTCAAATTCACCAGCTGCTCCTCGGGAACCCTATAGAGGTTTGCTATGAGTCAGAACAAACTTGACGGCACTTAACAACAGCTCTAGAACTACTGCATGAAAATGCGTTTCAATAATTGCTAGGAAACATAGATTTCAATACTTCCCAGGAAATTCTCATGCACACAAAAGCCGATCTATCTGACAAGTATACTAGTATCATTTCCCTAGGAACACTATCTTTAAGATCTATAGTTCATGGAAATCACATTTATGATCTGTTTGCTTGTTGCTGCTCTATGCCATCGAGTTGGTTATGACTCATAGAAACCCTGTCATGTTTTCTTTGTCTTCTTCAGTAAGTGCGTCACACTTTTAGCAAGCAAGGTTGGGTCATCTGCATATGGATGGACAGTTGTTAAAGAGCCTTCCTCCAATCCTGAGGCCACGCTTCTTCATACAGCACAGCTTCTCAGATTATTTGCTCAGAATACAGACTGAATGTTGTCGTTGCTAGGTGCTATTGAGTCAGCTCTAACTCATAGTGACCCTACGCACAACAGAATAAATCACCGCCCACCCTTGCAACTCACAACTGTTGTTGTTTGAGCCCTTTGTTGTTATCACTGAGTCAACCCCTCTTCTTGAGGATCTTCTTTTTCACGGACCCTCTACTTTATCAAGCGTTAACACCCTTTCTCTGGAACTGGTCCCTTCTGATAATATGCTCAAAGTGTGTGAAAGGATTCTTGCCATCTCCCTTCTAAGGAGCATTCTAGTTGTACTTCTTCCAAGACAGGCAGTCTTCCTCCTTCTTTCAGCTGTCCATGGTACTTTTAGTATTCTTTGCCAACACCATAATTCCAATGCATCCAGTCTTCTCTGGTCTTCCTTATTCAATGTCCAGTTGTCACATGCTTATGTTGTTGCTGTTGCTAAGTGCCATTGACCCGTAGTGACCCTGTATTGGGTTTCCGAGGAGCAGCTGGTGAGCTTGAAAAGCCCGACCTTGCAGTTCAAATGGCTTTGTAGTCTGGCTCATTAACCCACAGCACCACACATATATATGAAGTGATTGGAAATACCATGGTTTAGGTCAGGTGCACTGTAGCCCTCAAAGTGACATTTTTTATCTTTAACACTTTATTACAGATTATTAGTAGATTTGACTAATGCAACACAGCTTTTGATTACTTGACAGATGATTTCATGAGTACTGACTGTGGATCCAATTAAAATGAAGTCCTTGACAATAGCAGTCTCTTCTCCATTTACCATGATGTTGTTCACTGGTCCGATTGTGAGGTGTTTTTTGTTTGTTTGTTTTTACATTGAGTTGTAATCCATACCGAAAGCTATATTCTTTGATCGTCATTGAATTTTGAGTATGGTGAAAGAATACAACCCTGACTCACAGTTTTCCTGATTTTAAACAACACAGTATCCCTTTGCTCTATTTGAACAACTGCCTCTTAGTCTATGTATAGGCTCCACATTAGTACACATCAGTGTTCTGAAATTCCTGATCTTAGTAATGTCATTCATAATTTATTATGATCCACACAATCGAATGCCTTTGCATAGTCAATACCTTTCTGGTATTCTCTGCGTTCAGATAGCTTCCATATGACACAAGCAATGATAACCCTCGTTCCACATCTTCTGAATCTAGCTTGATTTCTGGCAGTTACCTAACTATGTACTGCTGTAACCACTTTTGAACTACCTTCAGCAAAATGTTACTTGTGTGTGATATTAATGATACTGTTTAATGATTTCCGTATTCTGCTGGATGACCTTTCTTTGCGTGGGCACACATATGGCTCTCGTCTATATGTCTTGACATAGACAAATGAGCATTTCCAGTGTTGCCTCTATTTGTTGAAACATGTCAAGTGATAGTCCATCAATTCCTGTGGTCTCGTTTCTCGCCAATGCCTTCATTGCAGTTTGGACTTCTTCAATACCATTGGATCTTGATCATATACTCCTGCTGAAATGGCTGAAAGTCAATCAATAATTTAGTTCTAAGTTTGCCAGTGCTGCCACAACAGAAATTTATTGTAAAGAACAGGACTGTAGTATCCCACAGTTCTGAAGGTTAAAAGTCAAAATCAGGTGTCGGGCATGCCGATTTCTTCTATGGACCTGTATCCTAGTTCCTGGCCAGTGTCACCATTCCTTGGTGCCTGTCTTCCTCCTGTGTTTGTCTCTGTGTATATTCTGTGCTTTGTTTAACTCAGAAGTGATTAGGTTTTAGACTCACCCTACTCAGCATAGTAAAAGGAAACTTCTATTTGCAAGGTTATATCTGTAAGTACAGCAGTTAGGATCTCACACATATTTTGGGGGGATATAATTCAACTTATAACAAAAACTTACAGCATTTTACAAAAATACTTAATGATAAGCCATGTTTAAGGATCTACACTACCTGGACAAATGATTCTGGTATTGAGCACAGGAAGGCTTTCTTTGCTGGCTGCCACAGTTGAACCAAAGCTGGAGGAATCAGTTTGGGAAGGGCTAACGCTTGCCCGACAATCTGGAGACCGAGGTGCAGTTTTAACTGTAGGCAAAAAGTCCAGATTAAAAAGAGGTAATGATAAAGTTATTAAAAAAAATAAGCAAGCCACTATAAAACCATGGCATAAAAGAGTTTCGTGTAAGTTTAAATGAGTCAATGGAACTGAAACGATTACACTGTGTCTTTAGATTTACTATATGGAAGAAATCTTCCACAGTAAAGTGTCTTGATTGCTCAGCTCAAGTACTAAGATCGGAAAATGGCTACCATAGTTTCCGGTGAGCAGTACTCCTAATTGGATATCACCAATACACACTTACTTAAAGGTACATAGAAATTCTGAAGCATGATGAAATTCTGAAAATGTATAATGTATATTGGCCAACACACTATTTTTCTCATCAACACTGGATGAATGATCAAGTTTAATTAACGAAACTCCCAAAACATGTGAAACTAATGTTTTCTTCTAGAAAGGGAAGGAAAAAAATAATTTGTTTTCAGATGAAACCAATATACTGTTTCTGCACTTCTCAATTAATCAAAGCAATTATGTGCCCAGAACTCTTCTATCAAAGCTCTTGTTAAAGCTCACGACATTTTGAAAATTATTCCAGAGCACAATTACTCTCAAAGTAAACAACAAAAAGAAAGACTTAATTCTATATACTCTAAACCAATCTAATAAAACCAAATAGTATCACTAAACTAATTTAGGAGCTACCGGAAGGTGATTAAAAAAACAGTAATCCTCAAACTCAATTAAAAAATACTCTAAAACTTAATTATCTTTACTCTCCCTAAGACTAATTATAATTTAGCTATATTAATTTTACACTCTATCCTCTTTGTTCAAAAACAGTCCAGTTGTACTAAAGAAAAGAAGCAAAACAGTTGCTGTTTCTTTGACGGAGGAGACTCCTGGGGCTAATTTCTAATGAAAACAATCTTTTGATGTTCACCTCTGATAAAAAGCAGAATGGGTCCTAATGACTAAGATTGATGTTCCGTTGTAAGTACCTAAATTAATGTCTCATGGCTCTCCTTAAATAAAACATCTCATTAAACATATTAATGTTCTGCATTTTGCACAATTCTGACATATGAATTCAAACAAAATTTAATAATAACACAATGTGTCTGCTTCAAAAATTGATTATTTAATACAGAAACACTTGTACTATTGCTATTGATTCTTACTATATTGAATTACTAGCCAAAATATAGGATCAAATATTGCACAAAGATTTTCCTAAATCTACATCTATTCCAATATAAATATCTGTATCTCTCTCTATTTTTTTTATTACTTTGGAGCCTACAATGGAAGTGCACAGTCTATGGAAGAATGAGAATGGTAGTTGGTTGGAAAACCATTGTTGCTGTTGTTGTTGTGTGCTGTGGAGTTGGTTCCCACTCATAGCGACCCTGTACAGGGTTTCCGAGGCTGTAAATCCTTACAGGAGCAGAAAGCCTCATCTTTCTCTAGTGGAACAGCTGGTAGTTTCGAACTGCTGACCTTGCGGTTCGCAGCCCGATTTGTAACCACTACGCTACCAGAACTTTGTTTTATAAAACAATCTTCCAAAGAGAGCCATATCTCAGAGGGAATTTATCAAGCAACACTCTGTATGGACACCAACGTCAGTCTGACTTCAGTCCATTTTCTTTGGATGAAGGCATATGAGGCACCTCCTCAACAAATTCAGAGATGAAGTAAATGTGAGATAATAGAATTACATATTTAAAAGATTTTGACAGAATGTAATGATTGGTGGGAAAAATAACAACACAAAGAAACATCAAACTCACAGGGACGTGTGTAAACTATTATGATTGTTGTTGTTGTAGTAGTTAAGTGCCGTCGAGTCAGTTCCAACCCACAGCGACCTTATACAGGGTTTCCGAGGCTGTAATTTTTTATGGGAGCAGAAAGCCTCATCTTTCTCCCATGGAGCAGCTAGCTGGTAGTTTCAAACTGCTGACCTTAAGGTTCACAGCCCGATTCATAACCACTATGCTACCAGAGCTCCTTAAACTACTATGATTGGATTAAAAAAAAAAAAAAAATCTCAGGTAGTCTTAGTAACATCAACAACATCCAGAATGACTACTATCTGGGTACCAATACACTATCACACTACAGAAAGTATTTGGAGAATTTATTCGAAATGTTGTTGTTATTAAGTGCTGTTGAGTCCGTTCTGGCTCATAGCAACCCTGTACAGGGTTTCTAAGGAGCAGCTGGTAGGTTTAAACTGCTCACCATGAGGTTAACAGTTCAGTGCTGATCCTACAGCACCATACCAGGAGTCTATAGAACAAAGGCGTGTAACCAGGAAAACAAAAAGTTTGAACTCCTTAAATTTAAGATTGGTAGAGGAACTTAAGACACAAACTGTAAACAGAGGTAAAAGGTGTGGTAAAGGGGTTGTAGTACCACAAAAGTTGTTTCTAGCATCATTTAAGGGCAGTTATGAGAAAGAACAATAGGTATAGCTCCAGAAGTCAGAGTTCCCTCAATAGAGCAATACAATGTGTGTGAAACTGCTTTAAAAACTAACTATACAGAGCAGTATCATGCTGATAGCTTTAATGGTAACACTTACATAACTAGGGGGCTTCAAAAAGTTTGTGGGAATATGGATTTAAGAGATTAAGGAATTTTCTCACACATTTTGAAGCCCCTGCATACATAAAATTTTATTAATAATAACTGACTATAATCATGGCTGGGTAAGATGGAGGGTCAGAGAAAGAGTAAGATCCCCAATGAGATGGATCAGCCAGGTGGCATCATTGATGGCGTCAAGTGTGGCAGCGGTGGTGGGGTTGGCCCAGGATCGGACATTGGCACCTGACAACAACAGCAACATAATCATGGCTAGAAAAATGAAGATAAATTAGAGTTCAATATAAATACCGATTTTAACAGAGCTGATTACTATAAGAGAGAGTCAAGGTTATGGAGTATATGTCATTAATGTTGTTGTTGTTATGCGCCGTGGAGTCGGTTCCAACTCATAGCGACCCTGTACGGGGTTTCCGAGGCTATAAATCTTTACAGGAGCAGAAAGCCTCATCTTTCTCCCGCAGAACAGCTGGTAGTTTCAAACTGCTGACCTTGTGGCTTGCAGCCTGATTCGTAACCACTATGCTACCAGAGCTCCTTATATGTCATAATAGGGACAAATAAAGTCTAATAATGGTTATAGGATATGTTCACGTTAGCTCTTTTCCTGGACTAGAGATAACTAATGTCTAAGAAGCTGGTATGGCGTTGTAGGATTAGCACTGGACTGGTAACTGAAAGGTAGACAGTTCAAACCCACCAGCCACTCTCAGAAAACCTTATCTAGGTTCTCTGAGTTGGAACTGACTCAACTGCATACAACAGCAACAAGGAAAGATCTAAGATATACAATATGCCTGCATTAGGTGTATGCTGGACATGTAGCGTCTAGAAATCTAATTTCCCAGTCCCTAAAGCTGCTCCTTGGAAACCCCATACAGTGTTGCTATTGGTCAAAATTGACTTGATGACACTTGACAACAACAAGAAGAGTCCTTCTAAGAGAATAAATAGATCTGTGTTGGAAGAAGTACAGCCAGAATACTTCTTGGAAGACAGGATGGCCAGATTTTGTCTCTCATACTTTGGACATATTGTCAGGAGGGACCTGCCGCTGGAAAAGGATATTATGTTAGGTAAAATGGAGGGTTGGAAAAAAAGATGAAGACCCCCAGAGAGATGGATAGGAACAGTGGCAGCATCAACGGGCTCAAATGTAGCAACGATTGTGAGGTTGGCCCAGGACTGGGCAGTGTTTCATTCTGTTGTGCATAGGGTCGCTATGAGTTGGTACTGACTCAATGGCACCTAACAACAACAACAAGAGTTATGGTGTGGTGCTGTAGGATGAGCACTGGACTGCTAACTACAAGGGTGGCAGTTCAAACACACCAGCCGGTCCTTGGAAACCCTACACAAGGTCGCTGTGAGTCGGAATCAACTTGCAACTGTGAGTCGGAACCAACCTGCAAACTGTGAGTCAGAGCCAACCAATTGTATTAAGAGTTTTTAATACAATTAAGGAATATTCTCCCGAAGTTAACGTAATTAACTGTAGTCATAATAATATGAATCATGATAATTACAGCAAATACTCTTATGTTACTCTGTGCCCAGGAACTTTTCTTGGCATTTTACACATACTAACTTAATAACTCTCATGCCAACCTTATAAAGTAGTAGATGCATTATCTCATTTTACACTGAGCCACAGAAAAGAAAAGTAATATGCCTACGTTTGTATGCAATGAAAAAGCAAAAGAAAAAAATTTCATGATTGCAAAGAATTCTGAAGTACTGACTTGTTAGTGGTACATCATTACTTTCATATTATTTTCACATCTTCATTAATGTTTTAATTCCTTATTTTTAAACTCCATCATCTTAGTTATTTTCCCTATACAATTTATAATATCAGCATATATTTATTTTCAAGTAAAACCTAAAAAGCAGAGAAGTTAACATTTTTTAAAGTAATTAAATGGATGGCAACTAGGTGTCCTATGCTTTTAAAGCTTACTTCAGCAATAAGAATTATGAATCCAGAATGTTGGTTAAGGAATGGGATTCCTGACGCTGCTGAATCATTTAAGTAGTGTGCCAAATTTTATGAAGTGAGGTCTGCAGCTGCCATATACCTATCAAAGGAATCTAATTTAAGTGTCTCTCTCTCCCTCTTTCTTCAGGAAAATTAAGATAGCCTGGTTTGTTTCTGTAATCCTTAGTTTATTATTATAATCTTTAGATTATTATTATAATCTTCAGAAAAGAAGGATATATAAATTCTTGACAATAATCTTGGTCTAAATTAAACTCAATGCTTTACTATTTTTGTATTCATGAATACCTAAGCTTTCACTTTCGAGCGGTCTTGTCAAAAAATTAAAAATAGAAACAGCTTATTTCCAATGGATAAGCTTTTTGAAAACTAAAAGCAAAAGTACATTTTGTTGCATCATCGTTTTCTTACCAGGCAATGATTCTTTTGCGTCATCATCTTTAGCCTCTTCTTTAGAGTCAATTACTTCTGTGCAATCATATTCAGGAGGTGGATTCACTGCTTCACAGGGATGAACAGTCTGCTCATCTGTAGCTTTAAGTCCAAGAAGAAGACAAGTATGTTTGGGCAGCAAAAAGAAACCCCACAAACATTGTGATATGCTTAGGAAAGGAGAATTGAAACATACCAAAAGAAATTTAGCATTCCCTAAGAAACACTATTTAATAAATAAACTTGGGGGTGATGCTTGTGAGCGTTAGACATTAAATAAAGTGGTCAGAATATTTTTATCAGGAATTTTTAAAGTAAGACATTCTGTAAGAAATACAAGTCCAACCAAAGGGCCTGATTCAATAAGCTACAGCTTGCAATGTGTTTTAATTATTTATATTAAAATTAACATTTTGTAAACTACTACATTTTTTAAGTAAATACACTATATTAATAAAAAATAACGAAAATAAAGGCTGAGTTTTCTGTAGGCTCTTTAAAAAGCAATGTAAGTATTTAGAGCATGCATGAAGGGGTTTCAAAAAACAGAATAGAAAGGTAATAGAAGTTTTCTACAAACTTTTTGATGCCCCTACTGTGTTAACAACAACAACAACTATGTTAAGAAGGAGCTCTGGTAGCGTAGTGGTTCGAAACTACCAGTGGGAGAAAGATGAGGCTTTCTGCTCCCGTAAAGATTTATAGCCTCAGAAACCATATGCAGGGTTGCTATGAGTTGGAACCGACTCCACAGCCCATAACCACCAAGTTAAGAACATGCTTTCCTATTTTCAAAGTAGTTTACATTATTTGATTTTCTTTAATTGAAGAATTCAAGTTTCCAAATAAAAATATTAAAAATATAGAAATACTATACACTCATTTTCAATTTTAGTTCAATGTTTCAAGGGTACTTTAAATATTTCTGAAACTGTACTTTATGCATCATTAATATGTTGGCTCTTACTATTAAGCAATGTTGGAACCGGCCTGACAACACTTAACAACAATAAACTATTATATCAAGAAACAGTCTAAGTTTCATGACAAATTTCACTTTAATGGCATTATCTTTTACCCTGTCTTCAAACACTGTTGTCTTTTTTTTAAGTTTATCTGGTCTGACCAATATGAAAACTCCATTATTCTTATTATCTGAATGTTGCTAAATCATTCAAGAGCATTTTGTTCACTGTGTACCTTTTTCGGCTTGTTCAATGATTTGCCTCACAGCTTTCTTTAAACTGTTTGCCCGCAACATGATTTCTGTGGGTTTCATGGTTTTCTGTGAGGATGTAGAGTCTTCCGCGAGCTGCTCCTTGTTTTCACACAAGGATTCTTCACTTGACGATTCTACAGGATCTTCTTCTACAATGACAGGGCTCACGCCTGGGGGTAAGGGAAAGGCTTCTGTTTGCAAAGCCTGGAGCAGTTGTTCAAGTTTCTCATTGAGGACAGAACACTAAGGAAAGACAAATACAGCAACAAGAAAGAAAACCGAAACATAGATCAGCAGGGGAAGGAAATACAAGAAATTTTAAAGTTCAAAGTTTTGCAAGTTGAACCATTAGAGAAACACTAAGATTCAAATGAGCGATATTTCATTGTGAATAGGTTTTTTTTTCTTAGACAATACCTCATCTACCAGCAGTTCTGCTCGTGTCAAGATTTACAGGCTTGGAAATCCCATACTGAGTTACTGTGAGTTGGAACATAATCACCACTAACCACCACACTTAAGTGAGATGGGAAAGATGGTATTTTAAATTTATCGGGAGGGAGTCCCTCAGCGGTGAAAATGGTAATGTGTTGGCTGATATCTAAAAGGCTGGAGGTTTGAGTCCAGCCAGAGGTGGACAGGCCTGGCAAGCTACATTCCCCAAATTCAGCCACTGAAAACCCAAACCAACATAGTTCTATTCGGACACGTACAGACTCATCAGGAGTTAGAGTACAGTGGATGGGAACTGGAAGAAGAAATTTATAGGGAACAAGCCTATATCAATTAGTGCTTACTATCAATTGGCTACCTATTATGATTACACTTTAGATAGTGTATGGGCTAAATAATTGATAATGTTCATAAAACAACAAACATGCACAAGTCTTATGTAAATGTCATTGATTTATATCATTTTCTCTCCATTTTACATATATAAATAGTTATAATCTTTGCAGAGGTATTTTTCCTGAGAAGAAAACAACAAACATTTTATATAAAGTCACACTGTTGTTGTTGTTAAGTACCATGGAGTCGGTTCCGACCCATAGTGACCCTGTACAGGGTTTCCAAGGCTCTAAATCTTTATGGGAGCAGAAAGCTTCATCTTTCTCCTGCAGAACGACTGTTAGTTTCAAACTGCTGACCTTGAGGTTAGCAGCCGGATTCCTAACCACTACGTTGTTGTTGCTGTTGTTAAGTGCAGTCGAGTCAGTTCTGACTTATAGCGACCCTGTATCGGATTTCCAAGGAGTGGCTGGTGAGTTTGATCCACCAACCTTGCTGTTCAAACCGACCTCGAGATCAAGTGCTTATCTTATGTTTCCACACCAGAACTCACGCATTACAAACACACACACACGACATAAACTTCCTTTTTAGTATATATAAAAAAAAGTAATCAATTCACGGTACCATTTTGGAGGTCTGGTCAGTTTTAGTAAGTTAGCTTTCAAAGCTTAGGTTTTGCAAAGGAATGAACAGCCCTGACGGACTATGGACTTGAAGAAAGAACAAAACAGAAACCTGCACAGGATAAAGAGGATAAAGACAGAAAAGTGTAGAGAAAGATAAACAAGGTCTTTGTTCTGCTTTTGTTTTTTTTCTGTAGTTGTTTTCCGCTCTTTTCTTTGAATTACCAGAGGTAAAGAAACAGAGCAGAATCTGTCTCTGCTATCCCTTAATATACCTTTTATCTCCACACAATTTCCAGTTCTTTCCTCTGCTATTTATTATTTGTCTTTGATGACGTGCCAAGACAAAGTTATAGCAGAAATAGTTTGGAGACAAAAGTGTGGCTAGAGAGGGCTTCTGTTTTCGGAAACTCTCCACAGAGTAGAAAAAGATGAGAAAGAGGCTGAAAGTCGCAAAAGTATGTTTATTTTCGTTTTGTTTTCCTGTCACTCAATTAAAACACATGAATAGCATAAATTGGAGGCAAGAGTGGGGGAAGGAAGCTAATTCCTTTGCAACCCCAATATAACCAGACCCTTCCTAAGACTGTCCTGTCATGAACTTGTACAAACAGTAGCTTTTGAGGTCCATGAAAATGTTCTTATTTTAGCTGCTGAAGGGGACTTGAATGGGGGAAAGTCTGTAAAGAAAAAGGCAGTGCAAGAAACAGAATCCCGAACAGGGCGGAAGACTATATATATAGTGTTTCAAGTATTCTACAAACATGGCGCTGGGAGAGAGCTTGACTGGCCAACTGGCATGGAAATAGAAATCCTTCCTCTTTCTACTCGCCCCACCCGCCAGGTGTCAGGCACGGGGAGAAGGGAGTTAAGCTACAGAATTCAATCTCTCAAGTGATTTTCAATGAAGCAATTTGCCTACCTATTTAAGGGTAATCATAACATGTTGTTGTTGTTGTTAAGTACCATGGAGTCGGTTCCGACTCATAGAGATCCTGCATAGGGTTTCAGAGGCTGTAAATCTTTACAGGAGCAGAAAGCCTCATCTTTCTCCCACAGAACAGCTGGTAGTTTCGAACTGCTGACTGTGAGATTAGCAGCCCGATTCGTAAACACTACGCTACCAGAGCTCCTAACCATAGAATACTACAAATAGAAACACAAAAAAACTTCTATCAGATTCAGAATTTTTTCATTAGTTTAGCGTTAAAACACAGTTCAATGTTAAAAACACTGTCAGCAAGACCCTCTGATGCCCTGAATGTGCCTGTACCCTCTTACTTTACTGGCCATGGTATCAGCATCAACAGAATTTTCCAACGTTTTTCCATATTCCTTCTCAATTTTGGCAACGAAGTCTTTTACAGTTTCACATAATATGCTAGGAGAAAAATAAATGGTATATACTTCAGTAAATTTAGTGAGTTCATTTCCTTTGAATTACAAGCATATTTTAAAAAAAAAACAGATTTTAAAAGGATAATTAAATTATCAAAATATCTGGGTCATTTCTAGTACATTAATCGATACTTGTACTTGTTGAATAATAAGGCCTAAGTAAGTTCAAGACATTCTAAATGACACATACATGAGTAAAGAATAACCCTGGTTCTATGTGATGAAAATAAAACAAGATTTTCTCAAACATTTAAATTCCGGAGAAGAGTACTTTTAGATCCTATTAAAAACAAAGCATTATCCTCTGCAGCGTATGTGTTTTCAACACAAGGCCTGCAGTGTTGAAGAAACAAGGCTAATAAGCATGTTGTCACTGCTGCTCTCCCGTTCCTCACATGGCAATATGCAGGTCTCCCCCACTATCTGAAAACAAAGCATTCCGATGGAAACTTTCATAAGCCAAAATGGCATAAAGTGAAGAAGCAATCAATTATTATTCAATGATAAGGGAAAACTTTTTTAGTGTTCCGAGACTCAAAATATAACCTACCAAATTATATCCCACAAGATGTAAAACCTTAAAGACCACTAATAGTGTTCACAGACATAGCTCAAAGCTTTGCTGGCTTGATCCTGAGATGCTGGGTGTAGTTCTTGGAGCAGGAGCTTGGAGCTGCTCAAACTCCGTGCTGCCACGTGAATACATTGCTGCAAAACAAATGCTGAATGCTAGTTTTGCTTTTTGCCTTTTTTTCGTGAAAGTGAACAACCTCCTCAGAATTTTTTTTGGTTAGCAAGCACAGATCTTAATGTAGGTCTTTCATAAAAGAGAAGTGGCATAAAACAAACTTTTGGAAACCCATTTCCACTGCCATCGAGTTGATTCCTATTCACAGCAACCTTATGTAAGGTTTTAGAAATTGTAAATCTTTACTGGAGCCATCAGCCTCTCTTCCTCCCAAAGAACAGGTAGGTTTGAACCGCTGAACTGGTGGTTAGCAGTCTAGTACTTATCCACAGCACCAACAGGACTCAGCCTGAGAACCAACCAACCACTGAGGTTGAGTTATACAAGAGTAAGTCAAAAAGTTCTGAGACAAAATCATGTTGTTATGTGCCATCGAGTCAGTTCTGATTCGCTGCGACCCTGTATAGGGTTTCCATGGAGCGGCTGATTGGTTTGAACTGCCAATCTTATGGTTAATAGTCTAGTACTTATTCTACAAAGCCGTACCAGGTCTCCAAAATCATAAAAGCCTTCATTAAACAAATATATCACATTGTGATATTTAATATAAGTATATAGTATATATACTTATATATTGTTGTGTTGTTGTTAAATACCATGGAGTCGGTTCCGACTCAGTGACCCGTACAGGATTTCCAAGGTTGTAAATCTTTACGGGAGCAGAAAGCCTCATCTTTCTCCCGCAAAATAGCTGGTAGTTTCGAACTGCAGACCTTAAGAGGTTAGCAGCCCGATTCGTAACCACTACACTACCAGAGCTCCTTATATATATTTATATAGTATAGTATATTTAATATAGTATAACTTACATAGTGATATTTAATATAATATATAGTATATAAGTATATAGACACAGGTCTATATACTTCTGAAGGTGGTGCTTCCATCTCTCAAACCCTTCCCTGAAAAATTCTGCACTCTTCAATTTATGTTATTGTTGTTGTTAAGTGCTGTTAAGTCGGTTCTGACCCATAGCAACCTTGTATAGGGTTTCTGAGGAGTGGTTGGTGAGCTAGAACTGCCGACCTTACGGTTCAAACCGACTTTGCAGTCTAGTGCATTAATTCACAGCTCCACACCAGGACTCCCTTCAATTTAAACCACATCAAAATGGCCGTTTGGGCATCCTCAAAGAACTCAAATTGTGTACCTTTGAATTTGTGGAACAGAAAGAAGTCTGAAGGGGCCAGGTCAGAGCTGTGAGTGGATGCAGTAAGGGTTTCCAAGGATACTCTGGTAGGACAGCTCTTGCTACCCTTGAGAAGAGCAGGGGCATGCCCTGGTGGAAAAAAACTCCTCCATGCAATTTTCCAACAATGCAGCTTTCCATTTTCATAAAACTTCTTCCTAGTAAGTTCCCATGATCACCCTGGATCCTTCATGAAAACCTATCAAGATTATGCCATTGGGAATCCCAAAACACAGCCATCATAATGTTTTAATCTGGCCCTCTCTTTTCTGCCTTCAATTTAACTGGTCCAGCGGATCCCCTCCAGTCACTGTTTTGATTAGATTTTTTTAAAGGCACCCCAAAGAGACTAAGACAAATGTGTTACTGAGAGAACCTATTTACAGCCATCCACTGATTGCAGAGCCATGTTTACACATGCCTGGTTTGGAATAATCCTGTGCATGTACAAACTAGAACCCAAGTAGCAATACTTTTGGAGTTACCCTCGTATTCTCTGAAAGTCCATTCATTTGTACCCCTTAAGATAACCAACAAAATTACATGTAAAACGAATTTAATTTAGGTCTTGTTATTGTTAACAGTATATAGTTTCCTTTTATTTTTTTAAAGTAGATTTCATTTACTTGCCATAGAAATGAATGATTAAAAGGAAAAAAATCTGAAACACTAACACTTCTCTTTTAAAAGTCTTAGGAGGTGCTGTTGAATTAAAAACAATAGCTAAGAAAACAGTCTAAGGAGCTCTGGTAGTGTAGTGGTTACGAATCGGGCTGCGAACCTCAGGGTCAGTAGTTCGAAACTACCAGCTGTTCTGCGGGAGAACGATGAGGCTTTCTGCTCCCCTAGAGATTTATAGCCTTGGAAACCCTGTTCAGGGTCGCTATGAGTCAGAACCGACTCCTCGGCACGTAACAAGAAGAAGAAGAAGAAGAAGAAAACAGTCTATGGCCTTGCTAAAAAACACTGGAGACCTAGTCAGTAACTATTTGAAAAGAGATCACTGAGCAGATCTGACACACAGGGACCCAAGGCTGCAAGTCTTTATAGGAGATGAGAGCTTCATCTTTTTTCCTCAGAGAGTGGCTGGTGGATTTGAACCATCAGCCTTGAGGTTAGTAGAGCAATGCTTAATCCACAGTGCCATCCATACTTCTTTAATTGATATAGGTTAAGCATTTTGAAAACAAACATACAAACCAAAAAAACCTCCCTAGGATCCAGTTGTGGTTTTTTTCCCCCCTCTATTATACTCAGTTTTCTCTGTCATGTGAGTGGCATATGTTTCCAGATACTTTTGCTTCAAATTGAAATATTTAATAAACACTTAATACCACCCCAACCTTCAGATTTATCAACTAGAAAATAAATGTATTACTTCTAGCAATGTTAGTTGGGATTTTTGGTGTTTTTTTGTTTTTTGGAACTATTTCTAGATTTCAGTCGGCAAAAGGTAACATTTTCTAACACTTAACTTCTCTGACTCTTGAATCTCTTCATGGCAAATTCCCTAGAATTTTAAGGTAGCACCGGAATCTGGAGTTGGAAAGGAACGAGGTGATCTGGGGACCGAGTTGGAATGGATTCTGCTTAAATGCAGGGAGAAACCCAATGCTAGAGCAAAGTCTAGACAAGGAGCCAGACCAAGGCCAAAGAAAAAAAATGGAAATGGATTTGGATAAAACACAAGGTAATGATTGTTGTTGTTAAGTGCTATTTAGTCAGTTCCGACTCCTAGCAACCCTGTATAGGGTTTCCAAGGAGTGCCTGGGGAGCTTGAACCCTGACCTTGTGGTTTAAACCGACCTTGCAGTCCAGTGCATTAACCAGACTGAGCACCACACCAAGACTCTACCAAGGTAATGATAACACAGTTTAAGATAGTACTCTGTAGTTCATGAGCTCCGTATTTCAAGTGAATTCTCTGGGCAGTCTTATGAGGAAAGGACAACCTTTCCATTCTTATACTAGCACCCCAAACTTTACTCCTATTGAGTAAAATGCTGGGGTCTACTCCCATGGTCTTTAAGCACTTCTCCAGAGATACCTGAACAGCTCTACCTCAAATGTGATTTCAAAATATAGAGCATAATTTTTTTCAAATGCCCAAATAACCACTGGAGACATTCCTGACAAATGATGTGTTCATCTGTACTTTAGCATCAACTACTTTCTGTGGAGGGTCAGAGAAAAAAAGGAAGAGCCCCAGCGAGATGGATTGGCAAAATGGCAGTATCAATGGGTCAAGCGTGGCAACAATAATGAGACTGGTCCAGGATCGGGCAGTGTTTCGTTCTGTTGTGCATAGGGTCACTATGAGTCGGTACCAACTCGATGGCACTTAACAACAACAACTTTCTGTGGCACTGTAGGCTAGGCACTGAACTGCTAACTTCCATGTTGGCAGTTTAAACCCATCAGTTGCTCCTTGAAAACTCTACACAGGAGAACTGACTCGACAGCACTTCACAACAGCAACTTTCTGTGCAAATCTTAAGACTACAGCATTTTCTGACCGTTTAGTTTAATTGAAGACAATGTCCTTACAACCACATGACCAAAAATAAAATTCAGGCATAATTGGAAACTGCGTTGAACATTGAAATGACAACTGTTATCTATAACTGTGCTTCTCATAAACTATACAGCAATATAACGTATGTTGCTGTTGCTAACTGCTGTCAAGTTGGTTCCGACTCATAGCAAGCTTGCATTTCAAACTGACATTGCGGTCTGGTGCTTATACTACAGTGTCATACCAGGATTCGTCGCTATGAGTCGGAATTGACTCAACGGCACTTCACAATAACAACAAGGCAGTTCAAGCTCACAAGCTGCTCCTTGGAAACTCTATGCAGGGTCGCTATGGGTCCGAACTGACTCCACAGCACTTCACAACAACAATTATAAACTACCAGTTGTTCTGCGGGAGAAAGATGAGGCTTTCTGCTTCTGTAAAGATTTACCGCCTCTGAAACCCTATACAGGGTTGCTATGAGTGGCACACCACCAATTATTAATGTCAACCACCACCACCAATTATTAATGTCAATAAAATATAATTTAAAAAAAAATTGGGATTCTAAATAAGATTTTATTTGAAAAACGGTTCCCACTGCTAAAGATGTTGTATCACAGAGGTATTGAAATTAAGGGAGGGAGACAAAGGGAGCGGTTGCTATCATGTTCCTATTTACAACTTTCCAAAGTTCAATTTCATTTAAAAAGGAATAGAAAATGTATTAGAGGCAGTAATCAAGCACATCAGACACATGAAGGTCACGATAGGCTTTGACTTTGCTAACATTCAAACTATGAAACATGCCTCAATAGAAGAATTGCTTAACTATATTAAACAAAGAATAATTATTTTATAAATTGTTAAGCTTAAAAAAAGCTTCCATCTAAATTTTCCATCTTTTCTATCAATGCCCTCAGAAATGCCCATCAGAACGGAAGTTGAATTTCTTATTTATGTGTATCTATTTTTACCTAATTTATATAAGAGGTGCTATTTCATATTTGGACTTCTGGTGTGGCACAAAAGCATATATGTAAAGCATGTCAGTCCTTTAATAGAGGAATGGAACTTTGAGGTCCTTTGGTATTAAGTGTAAAATACAGGCTTAGTCCACTAGTAAACTGATTTTCTTGACTGTAACTTCCTTTGTAAATTACTTCTGTGTGTGCTTTTAAATATTTTCTGTTTTTCTGATTTTTTCAGAGAAAAGAAAACAAGACCACGGTAAGACTCTTAGTTTCATCCAAAAACAATGTCGTGAAGGAAGGCTACTTCTAGAGGAAAGGAGAGTATAACGATTTTTATTTTGAAATCATGTTGTAGAAAATACCTTGTTTCTTAGTAATTCAATCATACTGCATCTCTTTTTTTTTTTTTAAATGGCAATGTGCTTATATACTTTAAACAAGATATGCTTGTTAGAGAAAGACAAGGAATGAAAGTGAATTTCTTATTTACATGTGTCTTCTTAAACATGATTTATATGCATTATATATTATTTCATATTTGGTCTTCTGGTGTGGCAACTTAGGAAAAGTGCAGGACTGTAAAACAAAGCATATATATAAAGCACGTCAGTCTTTTTAGATAGGATTGGAAAATAGAGGTCCTGCGGCATTAAGTGTAAGTACTGCCTTTGTCCAAGAGGAAACTGATTTTCTTGACTGTTAAAAAAAGAACAGAAAAAAACCCTACAAAGACGCACTTAACCCATAGGGCAAGAATTGACTCGACAGAGACTAGGCAGGTAACCCAAATGCATCAGTTGGCATTAAAAAGAACAAGGGAATGCTGGAGTCAGGGAAATAGTAGTTTGTATGTTTCATCCTAAAACAATGCAATTCATTTGAGAAGACAACAACACAAGCAACCCAAAAAGCAAAGTGTCCTTCAAACACAAACTTCTCTCGCCCACCTCTGACCAGCTTACTAGCGTACTCGCCTGGACTTAGACCATTCAACTCTTTACCTTTGCTCCATCTTGTTCCCTAAACTTGGGGGTTATGACCCGGAAAGCAACTGTTACTACAATTGTACTTTTGTCACAGCAAATTTGTTCTCATAATCACTTGTCTTTCCTCGACCTCTTTGCAAATTAAATAAGAGATTTCAACAAGTTTGTGGAAAAGTTCAATGGAAAGATATCAAAATTTCCCATGAACTGTTTGAAATTCCTCCTATATAAAATGCTCAAAAGTATTCTTCCTTTATTCCTTCTTCCCCCTTTTTTCCTCTTTCTTCATAAAAATAATTGTTTGCTTGTTAAGCCAGAGACCTAGAGAATTCTTTCATTTTTGCTTCACCTTCTTATGGTTACTTTCCAGTTCTGACGACACCGGTATATGATACTTCAAACTAAATGCTAAGTTCCAGACACACAACATTTTGGATAACAAAATCAAGTCTCTTCGGCTCCATGTACTAAATCAATTTAATGGAAATCTGGCAACTTTGGATTAAAATATAATTCTTCAATTTAAACATGCTGAGAAACGTCATTTTGGAAAATAAAATCTCATCACTCCCCCCCCCACCTTTTATCAATACAGACAGTAATGTTTACAGAAGTAACAAAATATAGTAAAACCTGTTTCCCATATTATTATTAATCCTAACACTTCTTTAAATGGAAACAGATTCCTCAGACTCAGTCCTTATTGCATGTATGTGACAAATAAACTTTCATATTAAACATCACAAAGTATAAGTAGTGTCCCCTTATCCATGGGTTATACTTTCTGCAATTTCAGTTACAGTCAGGAGATATTTAAACCGCCGTGCCTGTCTGAGCAGCTTGATGAAATCTCACACCATTCTGCTTCATCCTGCTCCACTGGACAGGAGCCTGGAAATCCCAGCTTCGTGTGTAGCTATGCCAAGTCCTGTCACATTATGACAGGTTCACATGTAGGCCCCCTAGGAATCCTGGATACCTGGTCGTACGTATGTATAGAAAAAAACAAAACAAAACACTATACGCAGTCCCCAGGTTACAAACGAGGCTAGTTCCTAACAGATCTTGAAGTTATTAAGTTGAATTTATAAGGGAGTTGGAACAGGCACATACAGCTCTTATATAGCCTAACTTTAGTGCAAGAAAAGACTCAAAATCTTTCCAACGATTTCAAAGCTGCACCCGAAGCAAGTGAGGGTGACTGTGACAAAGAGCTTGTTGTGAGCAGGGGTCAGGTCAATCATTGACAGAGTGAGGGCAAATTTCAAAACACCAAAGAACAAGTGCAAGTTGAGAGTTGGACACTCATGATCTGAGGCTGCCTGTATCCACAGTTTGTTAACGATTTACGATTTTGAGCATCTACTGAGGGTCTTGGCAATTTTCATCCACAGATAAGGGGGGACTACTATACACTGTAAATGCATATCATTGTCAAATAAGATGTTAAAACTGATTTTAAACAATGAACTCAGAGTCAGCATATCTAATTCTATAGGCTACTCCACAGATTGCTGTTCTGAAAAGAAAAATCACAAAGAAAAATAATGGTAGGAAACTCCTCTCCTTTCATTTTTGCCATACTTCACCAACAAACCATAACTCACTTCACAGAAGATACGACCACGGAGTGCTCATCAGTACTGAGGATGGTTTTAAGATGAGTTGCAACCGAGTCTTCATAAACTGTCATCTGAGAAAAAGAAAAAAACCCATACTGTATTATCATTTCCAGCATTTATACAACTCAGTTACTACTGCCTCAAAAACGTAACAATTTCATGTGAGACAGGGCAAGCAAAAGCTATAATTGAATATATACAAAGAGGTCTTACACAAAATAGATAAACATTTTCTTGATGTGAAAGATTCTCAGTTTCAGGACTTCTTGTGCATTCTTAGAAAAAAAATCCTTAAAAAAAACTTTTTTAAAATGAACAAATGTTAAGTAGTTGAATGTATAAAGAACTCCCACAAATGAGTCCTAAGAAGCCAGACATTCTGATTTTTTAAATTGGCAAAAAAACAGAACTCATACAATGCAGGTAAGAGTACAAATTGACCCAAACACTTTGGAAAACTGTGTGCTGTGATCAATTCAAGGTGAACATTTACACACGTACCATCCAGTTCTGACTCACTGTGACTCCCTTGTGTGCCAGGGTAGAAATGTGCTTCATAAAGTTATCAATGGCTCACTTTTCAGAAGCAGACCACCAGGCTTCTCTTCTGAGGTACCTCTTGGTGGACTTGAACCTCCAACCTCTCAGCAAAGTGCATCAACTACTTACAGCCCCCTGGGACTCCATACAGACAGTGTTGTTGGTGTTCAATGCTGTAGAGTTGGTTCCAACTCACAGTGACCCTGCATAGGATTTCTGAGGAGCAGCGGATGGATTTGAACCGCGACCTTGTGGTTAGCAGTCCAGTGCCCCAATAAACAGTTGTTTTTGTTGAGTACCATTGAGTTAGTTCCAACTTATAGGACCCCGTGTAGAGTTTCTGAGGAGCAGCTGGTAGGTTTGAATGGCCGACCTTGCCGTTAGAAGTCCAGTGCTGATCTACAGCAGCACACCAGGAATCCCCACAAGACTAGCTGTTGTAGTTAAGTGCCAACGAGTCAGTTCCAACTCACAGCGACCCTGTATAGCGTTTCCAAGGAGCGGCTGGTGAATTACCGCCGGCCTTGCAGATCAAACCAACTCTGTGGTGGAGTGCATTATCCCACCATGCCACACCAGGACGCCCCCACCAGACAGGATGCCCCCACCAGACAATCAGACAGTTGTTGTTGTTTTTAAGTGCCACTGAGTCAGTTCCAACCCATAGTAACCCTGTATAGGGTTTCCAAGGAGCAGCTGGTGAGCTTGAACCACCGACATTGCAGTTCAAACAGCTTTGCAGTCTGGCGCATTAACCCACAGTGTGAATCCATATCTTCTTTCCTTCTGAGTATATGGGATGTAGAAATTGAATTACCAGGTCCTACAGTCAGACAGTTGTTGTTGTTAAGTACCATGGAGTCGGTTCCGACTCATAGAGACCCTGCACAGGGTTTCCGAGGCTGTAAATCTTTGCGGGAGCAGAAAGCATCATCTTTCTCCAGCGGAACAGCTGGTAGTTTCAAACTGCTGACCTTGAGGTTGGCAGCCCGACTCGTAACCACTATGCTACAGTCAGACAGTTGTTGTTGTTAAGTGCCGTCCAGTCAGTTCCCACGTAGGACCCGGTAATTTAATTTCTACAACCCATATACTCAGAAGGAAAGAAGATATGGGTTCTTAACAGACAAGTACTTGAATGTTCACAAAAGAATTAATTTAGTAGTGTACGGGTAACCAAGTTCAGTAATATGTATAGAGTGGAACACATGTGGGCCATGAGAATAACCGATGAACAACTTGATGCCACAAGATAATAAATTTCACGCATGCAATATTGAGTGAAAGAATCCAAAAAAAACCTAGACCCTTTTGCAGAATGCTTCTATTGTACAAAGTACAGAAATAGGCAAAAGGATTGTACGCTGTTGGAGCTCAGGTAGTAGTTAGGGAGGATGGTAACTATGGGCCGGTGCAGCTGCTTTGTAAGCTGGGTGCTGACTGTGTGGCTTTATTGAGTTGGTGACACAGTATGCGCTGTTTCTGAGATGTGTACCACACTTCAATACCAAGTTAAGAAATGCTGACTGGACTACCAGACAATCATGTAAGCAAACATAGATATGCCAACAGTCGTTTATCTTTTTTCCATTTGACTCAAACTTTAGCATCCAAAGGAATCCTGGCGACACACTAGTTCAGTGCTTGACTGTGAACAAAAAAGGACAGTGGTTCCAACCCACTAGGCACTCTGCAGGAAAAAACATGTGGCAGTCTCCTTCCATAAAGGTTTTCGTCTTGGAAACCTTATGGTCAGCAGTTCCTATATGGTCTGTGGAAGAAAGGTGAGGCTTTCTGCTCCCTTGAAGATTTACAGCCTCTGTAACCCTATGTAGAGTCGCTGAGTCAGAACCGACTCCACGGCACACAACCATCACCAACCACCATATGGTGACTGAGTTGGACTGACTTGACAGCAGTGTTTTTTGTTTTAGCATTCTGTTGAAGGAATTGAGAGACAGGTGAGGCTGTCTACTCCTGTATAGATTTTCCGTTTCAGAAACTCGAAGGAGCAGGTCTACTCTGTCCTCTATAGGGTCGCTCTGAATTGGAATTCACTTGACAATAGCAGCGACTTTGGTTGAAAGAAGCCATCTTCCTAGTTAGTAAGAACTGGGCACAATAAACTAACAGCCTCATATTCAGAGTCCTCTGTGGAATGTTTGCCTCAGTAGATCCCATACCACACAGTCCAGCATGTTCTAGTCAAGCTGGCCTTTGCTCTTCTGACTGGATCAAAAATTCCTTTATTTCTTTTCACCATTTGGAGTCCTGGCCAGATTGAACTGTGGGGTTGGCGGTTCAATGCTCACTCCTTCTCAGAAATTCTATACAGGGTCGCTATGAGTTGGAACTGACTCGATAGCACTTAACAACAACAAACAAGGCAGAACACATATGGAAAATCAATTTTACGTGAAAAAAAGAAGGGGAAGCAGGATCCCCAAAGCTACATACAATAGACGATTGGCCATATTTACAGTTAAAATCAGGAAAATAAAAATACATCTAAAAAAGCAAAGAAAGGAAATATTCTTGGAAAACTCTAGCTTTATATTTCTTCCCTACAGGGTGCACTGATGCAAAGTCTAAGGTTTAAGTACCATTGAGTTCCTACTCACAGTAACCCTGCATAGGGGTTCTGAGGCTGTAATCTTTGTGGGAGCAGAAAACCTCATCTTTCTCCTACAGGGTGGCTGATGGGTAAGAACCACTGACCTCGTGGTTCAAAGTCCAGTGCTTATCCTATGGATCCACTGTGCTCTCTCTTAGAAGGTTGTTGTTAAGTACCATTGAGTCAATTCTGACTCACAGCAACCCTGTTTAGGGTTTCAGAGGAGCTGTTGGTGGGTTTGAACCACTGACTTTTTGGCGCATATCCTACAGTACTACACAGGAGTCCATCTAAGAAGATTATTGTTCCCCTAAGAACTTGATTGAACCTCAGCATAGTGATCCTGCTTGGTCACCTTAGAGCAGGTGGTGGACTGGCAACGTCTTGCGTATGGGGTCCCCAGCCGATCTCCTCCCTCCCTGCCTTCCTCGGATGGCGGCTGTTTATGCTGGACGTGTGGCCAGAGACGGGTAAGGATCACGTGGAACCTCGGCAACGTAAGACAGAGCCATTGCCATGCTGCAATGAGTTTCAATGACGGGTAAGACTGAGGAATTCGCACTGACGACCTAAGACAGGCAGCGTCCCTTAAACAAACAATAAGTAAGGAGGAATCTGATGCAGAACGTGCAGACCCGGTCAGGAGGTCAAGCCCCTGTGGGTCCAAGCGTTGTTGACCGTCCAAACCATAGGCTCTGAGGATCAGACTTTAGCTACCTAGTAGACATAGCAAACTGTCCCTCATCTGATTATTCAGTAATGCTTGTTAGTAATCTCATACATGAGCCCTGGATATCCACAGACAAATGTAAAAACCTTCCCTAAAAGGCGAGACTGTAAATCCCAAAAAGGCAAGTCCCCCCCCAATCCAAAAAAAAAAGCTAAAGAGGATAGAGAGAAACACTGTTAACTGATGATATATGGAGGGGATAATAATCAATGTAATGAAACAAGCTATATGAATGGTTGAATGTGAAGCTGATGATGTGCCCTGTAAACTTTCACTCAATCCAAAATAAAAACATTTAATTTAAAAAAAAAGAAAGAAAAAGAAGATTATTGTTGTTATGTCCTACCGAGTCGGTTCTGACCCATAGTGACCCTGTATGTTGTTGTTGTTGTTGTTGTTGTTGTTAAGTGCCATTGAGTCAGGTCCGAGCCATAGTGACCCTGTACAGGGTTTCCGAGGGTGTAAATCCTTACGGGAGTAGAAAGCCTCATCTTTCTCCCGCGGAGCGGCTGGTAGTTTCGAACAGCTGACCTTAAGGTTCGCAGCCCGATTCGTAACCACTACGCTACCAGAGCTCCTTCAGTGACCCTGTATAGGGTTTCAAAAGAGTGGCTGGTGAACTTGAACTGCCAACCTTGTGGTTCAAACCAACCTTGCAGTCCAGCGCATTAACCCACAGCCACACTAGGACTCCATCTAAGAAGGTTGTTGTTGTTAAGTGTCATCGAGTTGGTTCCGACCCATAGCAACCCTGAACAGGGTTTTCGAGGCTGTAAATCTTTATGGGAGCAGAAATCTCATCTTTCTTCCGCAGAACAGCTGGTAGTTTTGAACTGACCTTGTGGTTCACAGCCCAATTCGTAACCACTATGCTACCAGAGATATTTTGGCCCTTGATCTATAAATGAATTCACCACATGGCTCAAGTTTCAGCCAAAGAGTAGACAGGTCTATAAGGGGAACAATAACACTACTGAGGTAAACAAACCTTAGAATAATCGATCACTTTAGATGAAAAGATCAGCATTTACCCAAGGACAAAGTTCAGAAGGACTGGGAGAAGTAGAAGGGGAACAGGAAACAGGGAAGAAGTGGGGTAAGTGATGTTCCATTCTGGGGATTGCAATCAATGAGATGAAACAAAATGTGTCTGAACTGATGAATAGAAAACTGGTATGTTCTATAAA